TTAGTCTATGATATTTTTCATCATTATCTGTTGATCATCACCTGTTGGCCTATATGCCCACTGCTGAGCAAAGCCTCTTCTCACACGGAGAAGGTTTGAGCATTAATCACCACGCTTGCTCAATGCGGGTTGGCGATTACAAACTTATAATTAGAAATTATAAGCCCAGGTTTCATCACGATGTTTTCCTTCACCATTTGTCAGTGGTGTCTAGATAATCTTAGAAAGTAGATATAACTCGGAAAAAGTCACATTGGTATTTTCCGTTGGTAGGTTTCGAACCCGAACTCTCATGCATGAAAGGCAGACCTCTTAAAGCTCCTAGCCACCACGACACAATTTTTGATATTTTTTTTTTTTGTATGTATTTTTTTAAGTTCAATACACCATTTAGCGCGAAACAAAGGTTAATAAATTCAGCGGCAAATTATTATTCATATAGAACAATATTTGTTTGTTGTTTTCATTAATTATTATTCCACCTTCCGATGGAGTTACGGCCTATTTTATATTAAGTCGGACTTGCGTGACTTAACTCTATCATACACTTCAACAAAAATATTTTTCCTTGTAACCCGCAGTACTTAATAAATAATAACAATTGTCCTTGTGAACTCAACAATGTCAGCAAATAGAGGTTCTTAAAGAAAATTTGTAGTGAAAAGTTGCTGGGATTACCTACCTATTGTGTACCTGAACAATGCTTGTACACTACCAGCTGAGTCCACTTAAAGATGTAAAAATAAGAAAAATAAAAAGTTTCAGATTCTTTGTATCTAAACTAGATTTACACCGACCATATTAAACAGTTGGGAGAGCCATGCTTCCGCACGAAATCGGCTTCGGCCGGCTAGTCCGGAGTAATACCACGGCCTCACAGAAAACTGATACAAAACAACGCTTGCGATGTGTTTTGTCGTGTGAGCAAGGTTACCGAATGCCCAATTACCCAATTACCCCCCTCCCCAATATCACCTATCCCCGAATCTCCAATAATCCTCAAAAGGCCGGTAACGCACTTGTAACACCTCTGGTGTTGCAGGTGTCCATGGGCGCCGCCGATTGCTTACCATCAGGTGATCCATCTGCTCGTTTAGCAGCTTATTCCATAAAAAACAAAGTTTATAATTTCCACAATAGTTTCACAAACCATATAGTTACAATGTTAAACCAGATATAAAAATATAAAACAGCAGTTCCACCGACTTTCGTTTGTACATATAAGTGTCAGTTTAACTACAAACTTAGCAACCTATCGTGGGGCTAGTTGTAAATCCGACACAAACGTGAATAGTGAAACTTGTGTACTCACAGAGTTTAACTTGATTTCATGGCACGGCAATGAAAGGAGACCTTAATACTACGAACTTCGCAACATAAAACTGACGTGGAAGTTTCAGAGACCCTTAGTCTTAAGTACTTAGAATTAAAACTGACTCAACAAATTACCTAACGCAACGAAAGTTTGCGGAAACAAAATAATTGCGTCAAAACAATGGCAACGTTTGCCGTCTAGATAAAGAAGCTAACTAGCAAACAAACGAAAATAAAAGTTTAGTTATTAACAACTAGGAAAACTTAACATTATGAATCATTTACGAAAGAGGTAAAAATGGTTCTGAATATGTTTAAGAAATCTGATAGACTTAACTTAACCTATTGGAGACAAGGATAGAAAAACAATTAAACATAAAGTTTCAAGAACATATTTGAAAAAGGTCGTGATATAGAATAACTAGTATAAGTATAAAGTTACCTTCAACATTAGCATCCCAGATAGCTATTAAAATACTTATGGTAATGTAGTAACGCTGTACGTAATACCAATTAACATTATAATATTATCACTACATAATCGCTGCTATAAGATCTTTATCGTGCTACAAAACACTTTCTCTTCGTATTACTACTGCTTGCTATGGTTTAGAAACTATTTATGTTTGTTACTTTTTTTAAATAAGTATTATTTCTCTACGAAATAAGTATTTGTTTAACAATGCGAATGACATAACCGACTGGATAAAAATTTAATTTCTTCACAAACCTTCCATGTTTTATAACTGAGTCTGCAAACCAATAGCTATAGGCATAATGCTATTGTCAGAAGAACAACTGTCAACACTTACAGAGAAAAATACACCGATCATAGCTAAATAACAATGTACACGAGAGAGGTGGCCAGATGTTTCCAATTATTACTACAAGTAATCCCATTTGGTAATAATAATTAATATATTAATAAGATTCTGCCTCATACAAAGGACGCGTCAACCAAGAATCGCGATATAACAAAATAATCAAAACAGGGCTGAGGGATGTTATAATCATAATAAATGACTCATCTAATTTGAACCCTAAACGCATCGAATAATGCAATAAATAAAGAAAGTTAACGACACTAACTAGTTGTCTGAACATATCGCACTATAACTGTTTCCACTAGCCCAGCGCACAGCGTCGCGTGAGAACATGCGACCGGCCCATCGGCCTTGGGGTCCTTCGCTTGCCTAGCCTATTTGAAATCAACTTTTATTACTATACTATCGCTTCGGACAAGTTTCTGCTCCGTGCCTCCTACGTTTATTTATAACCCTTTCGCTAGACAGTTGCCAACTGATGGAAAGACGAAATGTATGCGGAAGAATCAATTCATTTTGTTTTCAAGAGACGTTGACTTCTCTGTATGGCGCGTTGGTGTTGTTATAGTTGGCAAAACCGCAATTTTGCAGTAATTATTCACGCGTATGGTAATAAGTAATAAGTGAAGATTATTTTGAATGTATCCTTATACCACAGCTGTTGTCTATCCATACAGTGTTATATTTTGTTTGAACTTAATTCAGAAAGCTCTTCTAGACATCTTCATCAATACTTTCCGCCGACTTCAAAGAAAGTGTCAGTGGGAGGCAATTTATCGTCGTAGTCGACACGACACGTGCGAGATAAAACGCAATTGTTCTGGATTCATGACATTTGGAACTGTACTCATTCTCGCAACGTGTTGCACAACATGACGTCCCAATTACCGACGATTACATGAACGGAGTCTCGCACGACACCTATGCCATACGCAACTGCAATGATTGTGAACAATCACTTCCGCTCAATTTAGCCGGCCTTATCCGATTATATGTGGATGATAATGCAATTTTGGTTTCCTGTGTTTTATTCACGCAATGCTCATAACCTACATACAATGGGCAAACATTTACGGACCGACTCCGACGGGAGCTGTAGCGATTTATACTGACGAATCTATATTCCCAGTGGCCCGACATCATTCGGATGCATTCGGATGTTGGTCGGCTCTAATCGGCTAACTCTGCTGGGCGTCAGCCAAGCCATTCCCGCCGTTTCGGCGGATTTAAATTTGGAACACTATTTTTTGTGTGGCCGTAGTAGTTTGACGAGGTGAACAATCTCTTCCCGTTTAGAAATATATCGCATATTTTGGAAAGCGGCTGATGGCCGTCCGAGAGAAATGTCCTAATTTTCTGAACTTAGTGACAATATTTATGTTCTAGGCGCTGCACCTTAGTAAGTGACACGCATACCTCGAATTCATATCCTGCTCGTCGTTGTTTATGATTCCACGTGCGTAAGTGTAACGGTTATACGAAAACGCGTGTTTAGCCGTCGCCTCACGAATTATAAACTTTCTGTGTGCTCTTTGTTGATGCGTTTCTATAATGTCCCCCTTCTATTGTAACTGAGGTGTTTATTCTAGATATTATCTGGGCCATCTCCTTCTGGGATAAAATATCCCTGTGCATCAACATTTACATTTACAAAATAGGTATTCTCTTGTTTGTCATTACTGTTTCAGTATACTGATAGAGATGCTATAGAGGACCTAGGTAAGTTAATAAAAACAATAAACAAGACTTACTATAGTAAGTCATTATTTTTATCCATTCTGCAGAAAAGCCACAACTTTAGCCTCAATGCCTTGATGAGTAAAACAACTGTGATGAATCTCAATTACACTGAAGATGACTGGACCTGTATTCATTTGACAAATATACAAAATTGTTCTAAAGGCCAAGCTTATCTATGGAACTCGTATACAGCGTCGTATGTGGGACCAATTCAACGAGAAACAAATTGGCAATTTGACAAAAATGCAACGAACCGAGTCGTACAACGTACACACTTCCATATGTATAACTAGTAAATCAGAGCACACGCTGCGCTCTATGATTGAATAACATCGAACTGGACTGGTTCATTGGACTCATTCTATTCGACAGTGCTCCTCGCATTTGTCATTACATCAATCGAGAGAGTGCCATACATACAGATAACACAACCGACTAGCGAGCAGTAGTCAATATCATACACAGATTTGTCGTCTCTTAACAAAATACAGAAGTTAGTGAAGCTACTGAAATTGCGCAGGCGAATGAAGCAAACGTATCAACTGTTCAAATAAAACTCAGCGAATATTAGAAGTGGGCAGATATGAGCGGTATTTGCTTGTGACCTTCTGTCGATGCTCATTATGGACGAAGTCGAACATTTACAATCCTATTTGAGAGTCTCGTAATAGTCGTGATACATTCTACTTCATTTACACTCGACAACACCGATGTTTTTGTGCAAACCATGTCAAACATTTGCTATGAGATGTTTGCACCAAACAATACATCGTCAACATAAAATCATGTTTTACAAGTGCCTACACTGCGAGCAGCTGATGTCACTGCGTACTTGAATCACGAAATAATCGGGTTTCGCGGTATCTACACAAATAACGCCGCTAACCTGTTCACACACGATGTACTATATCTAGCTAACCTCGTGTTCACAGCTCGCATCCGCTGCGTCTGTGACGCGACAACAAACGTCAAGCAGCGCACAAATAATTATATGTATTGTTTGCTTCGCGGCTGCCCCTAGTTTTAACTTTCGCTTAACTAACTTCTACTCTCCATTTGTTGACAATCTTAGTGGTATCAGCATAGTCAAATAAAACATCAGCTGTTACGATTTTGACTCACCTGTGCTCTATTGATGACATCGTGTGGTCCCCGCCAAGTCGTGGCTGCTGGAGATTTCCTTTTAGCTAGTTCAAGTGTGGCCTCACTTGGACATCGTTCAAACATAAGCACTCGTTCTGCAACTGATCCACGCGTGAGGAACGGACGCACAGGTGTCGCTCCTCCCGCTGCGGAGGCGGGCTCACCGGCGCCAGCGCTAGACGCACGACGTGCTCGCGCTTCAAACTTAGAGCGTGCCTCTGTCACATGGGAACCCAGAGACGCTCGGCGCTCGCCACTGGCACCAGCGGCCGGCTTCCTAGCCCCCGTGTCCAGCCTGTCCTGGTATCTACTCTTGGCATAGTCTACCAGTGACAGCGGCGGGACCACGTCGGGTCTCTCCGCAGTGCGCTCTGCCACCACGCCTCCGGTGCGCAGCGCCCGCAGCAGGCGCTCCTCCTCGCGAGCGACCTCGAGACGCATGGCAGCGGGGTCGGCTCGCCTCGCGCCTGCGCCGGCGCCTGCTGTACCATTACGTTCTGGTACTAAGTCTGGAGGTAGCATCACCTCTATAGTCTCTGCTTCTGGCTCAAAATTTTCACGACGTGTGTCGACTCTCTGTTCTCTACGTACGTCTGGTCTTTGTTCCCTAGCCGCGTCCGGGCGATGAACCTGTCTAAAGTCGGGTCTCTGTTTTATTTCGGGTTTAGGCTCAGGCCTAGGTTTAGTCCTCAGACTCTCTGCCAATTTGATTCCGGGCGTAGGCCTGCACGACAATATTTCCGTGGGTGCGAGGCCACGCGCCTTCCAAGTCTGATAAATGGCTTCGGCATGGTCTGAAATCTGTTTGGCGATGGCGGCTATATCCTCCTCGCCTGTGTCTATCTCGCGCCTGGCCGTGGCCGCCATGACCGAGCTTCTCACAGCCAGTTAGGTAGACGGAGGTGTCGGTCGCTCCACACCGGTAACTCTAAGGGCACTCTGTTTGCCCCATCTACACACACAGGTCACAGAAACACCACAGGTTGTGCACTAATAAAACAAAACACTGAGAAGAACAGCACTGCGGCAAGTCGCGGTGCAGCACTGACAACAGCTGTAAGAGCACGCGTCCAACAATAAACAAAGGCGACGATCGCGTGTGTTGTCGCGGCGTGCGGCGTGCGGCGCACACAACGAGCCGACGGAGGGACGTCGCGCGGACTGCGGCGCGGCGCCGACACCGCCCGCGCCCGCTCTATGGCGCGGCCCGCTCACCTCCCTCCTCCTGATTCCCGTTCCCGTCCTACGACCTCCTTGGTCATTCACTGACACTAATTATTAGGTTTGTCACTTTCAGCATAGTGAGTACACTATTTCCTGAAACCGGAAGAAAAAAAATCTAAGCGACATTTTGAAAAAATATTTTTTTTAATTTGAGGGGATTTTTCACCTTGTCTAGAATCATTGAATCATTGTGACGATCGAAATTTTATTATTATGAATTCTAAACTTGAGTTCGGTGTGTAAACGGTCATACTAGATGGGGATGACGATGACAAGGATGAGACACAAAGATTATGTAATTACAGATAGGATTTTGTAAAACAATATCTAAGATAAATGTATTAAGACGAAGTATTTTGGTAAAACTAGTTTTTAGAAAGTAAACTATCACTACCAAGCCATCAACAATGAAGATCTACACTTAATCTACACATAAATAAGTTTTTTCAAAGTTTTGTTGCGATTGGTCTATAACAGTTTTTTTTAGAACACAATCGTATCCCATGCGTCACTATTCCAGCGATGTCTTATCTGTGACGAGTGAATCTGTGGCGTCGTCGGGCGATGCGTCGCGCACGCGCGTCGACGCTACAAATAGCACGCGCCTTGTATTTATTTACACGCTCCCTAGTTTTTATTTTTTTACCATTCTACGAAGCAACGACACTGCACCCGGTGCCTGCGTCTACATAAAAACAGACGGGACCGTATGCGCTCGAATATTTAACAAGAAACTAATTTTATTATAGTTTCAGACATAAACAATGAAATCATTGTTTCTGAAAAATAAATACCAACGGCTGGAGCTTTTAACAATTGCAAATAGATTTTGTTGATATGTTAATCGGAGCAGTAAAATACTTTCCATATTTTGATTTCATAAATGTTTCGTATCAGTTCTATTCAAGGTTCTAGTTGTTGTGGATATTTTACATCTCACCCAAAATTATATCATTTTATTATTAACAGTGGTGTGCAAACATGGGATACATCTCTAATTCTCTATACATCTCAAAATGTACCTTATCCCATGTGTTGTAGCATTAAGCCCATTGGTAGCAGAAAAAGAAATTATCAAGACTATTTAAAATAAAACTCTATATCAAAATGTTCTACAATTTTGCTTTGCAGTTAAACTTGCCGAACCAAAGTCAAAGATACTTTTGTATTTAAAATGGAATTAACTATAGTTAATAATCTTAAAAATGAATGTCAAATGTGCCATACATCAAAAGTTCCCATTACAATCAGGAATATTTATCAAAGAAAACAGTACTGCTTGATATTAGCTCAAGTTCCGCCTATTCCTTCAGAGATTAGATAGAAGAATATACGTACCAGTGGGCAATGTTCACTCACCCAAGTTAAAAGGACGCCAAAAAATTCAGTCTGCGTAATTTTTTCAGTTGGCGTTCCGAAATCCTTTGATATATCTTGATAATAAGTTGCCGTAAGTCGTCGGATGGAGATAAAAGACCTAAGTCCTACTATTTGTGTAATTTCTCCTTCAAATCACTCCCTGGACTAATGAAAATGTTCTGGTAAACGGGTTTGTTTATTAACGATAATAACGATAATGTTATTGTCAAAAGCTGCATCTCTGTTAGTAGACTACAAAAATGCAATTGCCTCGCGGTCTCAACGACGTACACACCTGATTTATTAAATTCCTACTGAAATTTAATAAACTGTAAAATAATAATTCTCACTAAAAACAATAAGAGTAGGCTGCGCGACATACCTCTGTGGAAAAACCCCTCTGTGGTTCGAAACTAGTAAAGCTTTTCTCTGTCTATTCACCGTGTAATCGTGATTTTTTAGTTAATTAAGAAAGGATAGGTGGAGAAAGTGATGTTCATTGATGGGCGGTGGCCCATGGATACCAGCAACATAAGTGCAATGCTGACCATTTACAGGGAGGTTGGAAGGTAGTATCGTATGAGCTCCAAAAAAAAACAGGTAAAAAGCCACCGATATATAAAAAAAGACCAAAACTTTCAAATGAACTCCATAATAAACAAATGAAGTACGTAAATAGGGTTCTGAAAATTCATTTTACACCGGATACCTAATTTTAAACCGTAAAATACATTTTGATTAATTCTAGCTATTACAAGTATCATACGAAACTATAAGGATCTCGATTACAGTTGGTATACAAACAATAATATAAATTGAATTGTGAATTTACTGAAACATCACGATTCTGAGTACAGCGGGCCATTTGATACGCTACCGTGATCTGACTTGTATTATATAAGGTTGTATAACATCTATACTGAAAAGATTCGTCTGTTTTACTGTTTATTTGTTGGTGTAAATCTCTAATACTCGTCATGTTCCTGCAGCATCTTGAGATACGAATCCCGAGATACTTCAAACTGCAGTACGTATCTATGTCTTTTTCTTCTTCCATTCTGTAAAATTGACACATTTATTACTGAGAACGGATTTTCATTTTATATTCGCATGCGCATCTGTTATGGTCATTAAGTAAATCCTTTATAATGTATTCATCGAAAGTCTGACTTTAATTTTTGTTGCCCTAATTTATTGTTATTTTTCTAATATTTTGAGATGAAACCCGCGGTAACAACTAGTTTACAATATAGCTGCCACACTTGGCTGATCTCGGCTAGTAAATACATACATAGACAATTAAAAACACGCCAAAATGCCATTATCTGAGGTAATATTCATGCTGAATGAGACGAACTGCCTGCCTACATAATAAAAATTAATTCCGGATTGCTTCAACCTACATACCGCCATTTCGTATCCGGAGCAATTTTTAAAATGTTTTTAAAATAGCTCCTACCCACCTGACTCGATGTCGTGAGCGTTTCAGTAAAGAGGTGTTCATAGTTTAACTTTATAATTTTACCAGCGACCCGTCCAAGCTTCACGCGGGTGAAGTATGTATGTATTAGGTATACATATAAATCATCGATAAGAATCACTCTATCTATTTAAAAAAACCGCATCGAATTTCGTTGCGTGGTTTTAAAAATCTAAGTATTCATAGGGACAGACAGACGGCGGGTAGCGACTTTGTTTTATACTATGTAGTGATGATAAATTCATCATTTAACATTACTTATTACATTATTTACATTTTGCTTTAGCAATTGGAGTTCCATAGTATCTGCCTACAGACAGGTGTGTGTGTCTATTATCGTGTATATTATCGTTTAACACCAATTTTTAGTCGTGGGATGCATTGGATGCAAGTAATGAGTTATCGTTCGCCCTAAAGGACTAACAGGCAATCTTAATGTTTTGATCCAAAATCTCTGTACCTATCAATTTCCGACTCTAACAGAAACTCCATACACGTATTGTTCAAAAATTATCTTAATCGAAGATTTTGGACCAGGACACTAGTTATCATCATCTACCCCGGCGCAGGCGAAGATGATTTAAAAAAAACGTTGCCCCACACTAGAATTTTTTCCTGTGTCATTGGTACGTTCACAAATATACAAGTTCACATACATATGACACTCAGACCCGAAACAAGAATCTTTGGATCACCCAAAGAGTTGTTCCGTGGTACTAGAACCCGCGCCACTGCACCAACCGTGCTGTCAACAAATGATGAAGTTTAAGTTCGGGGTAAACATTGTTTAAATAAAATGTCGTTTTTAATACATTATGTGTTTTAAATCAAAACATACAATTGTATAATTTCATTAAAAACATATTTTTAAAGAATCCCACACCACCGTGTGAAAACGTTTCTTTCCACCACATGGTCATGGGAATCAGAATTATCATTTTTCGCTCAATTAAAATTCTTACATGTCGTGTATGCTACGTGTCATATTACATCTTCAAATATGTAACATTCATACTTGTACTTATTTTAATGATGGAGAAAAATGTAAGAAGTATGTAGAGATCACTAACCGAATAATCCGTAACTTGGGCTCACATAGGCACCACTTGCAGTGCCGTATTGTAATCTATATTATAACTAGTAATTGTATGGGGTCGCGAAGAACCTAACGGGTAACCGGGGCTCCGGCTCGACGTGCAGGAGAAGGAACGGGGTGGTTTTTAGTCAGTAAGAGTCCGACACTCCCTCCCGCCTCACCCAGGCGGGAGCAGTCATTCGATGATTTTCCCCCCTTAAAAAAAAAAAGTAATTGTATGGGAACTTATTTCAAGTACTTACAATAACTCATTAAGAATAGACACTCTCATAAGTTTGTTGAAAAAATAAGTTTGATACCACTACCTCACAGAAGACCGACGTGAAATAACGCTTACGTTTTGTTTCGTCGTGTAAGTGAGGTTACCGGAGGCCCAATTACCCCCTTCCCCAATCTCCCCAATACCTGAATCCCGAATTATCCTCAAATTCCTAGTTCCAAAACGCCGGTAATACACTTGTCACGCCTCTGGTGTTCCGGGAGTCCATGGGCCACGCGTCTAAAAATATGATTAGAAAATTTTGCGACCCACATTTATTTTCAAAATATACAAATGACGTAGGCCAAGTGGAGTCGAGGAGATATAGCACATATACAGCATATACTAGCATAATATACTAAGAAGTAGGAGTGGGTGAAGTGGCTACGTGGGTTGAGGGCCATTTGGGCAAGACAAAACATTTGTAACCGCTCGAAACAGGCACCAAAGCCCGTAGGCTCCCAAAACAATGATACACCTAGCACAAGGGCAGAGGTTTGATAACACAAGTCATGCTTAACTTTACAAAGGGTAGGTAGATATGTAGTTAGCAAAGGATATGTGTAATTGTGAACACAGTTTTTAACTATAGAAGAATAAGGAGATTCTCAGGTAGAGCTGTATGTATGGATGCATGTGTGTATGTATGTAAGTATCTATGTATACTTTTTTTTAAAGGGGGAAAATCATCGAATGACTGCAGTCTTACACTCCCTCCCGCCTGGGTGAGG